GGAAACTGCTAGGGCAGGGAGGGGCATACTTCATTAACAGGGGTACCTGAATGATCAATGATTGTATACCTAACCCTGAATTGTATCCCACATCTTTACATTAAAAATTAAAAAAAAAAGAATGCATTAAAGACTCCATTGTCATCGTTATTCCTTTAGTCCCCACCCAGGTACTTTCCTACCTTGCCCCTGCCTGAGCCTCAGCTGACCTCTGTCTGGTTTCACCCTCACCTGCCCCTGCCTTTCCTCACTCCTTCCATCTCTGTCTGTCTGCCTATAAATCTACACTTGCCTGCCTGCTTTTATCTCTGACTGCCTGTCTGCACCTGCCCACCTGTCTGTCTACACCTGCCTGCTTATTTTCATCTTTGCCAGTTGGTCTACATGCGCCCACCTACCTGCTCTTCTATACCTGCCTGACAGTGTGCAACATCAATCAGCACACCTGTAGACCCTCCTGTCTATTTGCCTGTCTCTTTTATGTGTTTTTAACCTCTCTTCTCCATCTCTTCTCTGCTGATCTCTCATCCATCTAGCTAGCCAGGCCCCAGTCATAAAAACACATATAGAAATACCTAGAATTATGCCCTTCTAATATGAATGGTGGTCACTTGGATGGTGGTATTTTGAGAGATTTATTTTTGCTTTCTCTTCTATAATTATATAGAGAGATTTTGTTTATCTAACAAACATACACTTTTAAATAAAAATAAAATGGATCTTTAAAATAAAGCCAACCAACAAAAAAAACAACCTAATGAACAAATATCTTTTAAAGTCTTAAATGCGGCAGATCATAACCTAAGACATGTTACCAAAGAACACATGAATTTGTATATAGATTACTGTATGTACATAAATAAATCAAAAGTTGCACAAAGAAATAGAAATCCTCAAAATGTGAACTGTATGAAATGTTTTGATCTATTCTATTTTATTCTGTCTCATTACTTAAAAAAATAATAGTTTGGACTCACAAAGTTTAATTCTTGACCTACGAATGGTTCACAACAAGTAGTCTGGAAAATACCAGTTGAAGACAAGTTTACAATAGAGTGGCCCAGTACCTAGAAGTGTCCCATGCTCAGCACTGTCTGGCTTCCTGCTGCATGTGCTGCCCCAACCTTGCTGAACACTGTCTTCCTTCAGCTGCTATTTCCACAACCTTCATTCAATTTGCTGGACCATCCTTCAGCCTCTCTCTGCCACACAGGCACCTCATCAGCATACGTGGATGGCTGAGACTCTGTAGTCTCAAATGTTCTCTGGAGCACACATATACCTTATCTTCCCTGAGAATGTGCACTTCTTAAATATCTTTTTCAAAGGCTAATAATCTTTAGACTTAATATCTTAATTTAAAAGTGAAAAAGAAATTATTACGAAAGAAGTCACATTCTATTTCCCATAAAAGAAAAATGCATCATTGACCAAGAGTGGTCAATAAAATGCAATGTTAAAACCCATGCCCCTTTTCCCAAATGTCTTTATTTCGGTTTGTTTTCTTTTTTTTTTTTTTTTTTGAGTTGAAGTTCTCACTCTGTCACCCACGCTGGGGTGCAGTGGCACAATCACGACAATCAGGGCTCACAGTAGCCTCAACCTCCTAGGCTCAGGTGACCCTTCTACCTCAGTCTCCCAAGTAGCTAGGACTACAGACATGCACCACCATGCCTGGCTAATTTTTTGCAGAGAAAATGTTACCCAGTCTGGTCTTAAACTCCTAAGCTCAAGCAATCCACCCACCTTGGCCTTCCAAAGTGCTAGTGTTATAGGCATGAGCCACTGCGCCCAGCTATTTTGGTTTTCTAACAATGCATAACAACTTATATTTTACACTTCACATATATAGTTACTCTGTCAAATTAGATATGGCTAAGAATGATTATAAGATGTAAATAACATGTTTTTTAGCTTCATGACACAATGATGTCTCATAACTTTGGTCATAAGTAGTCTGTGGTCACATCAGTGATCCAAGCTACTTCAAAAGTGAAACACAACTAGAAATGAGGAGAGAAACTTCTCAGTGGTAAAAGATTCAATCCACAGGAACATAAAACATAAGTCTGCACTGCAACTAATAATTTTTACCAAAAATATAGTAAATACTGATGTACTTTCAAGAAAAAACCAGAAAAATCCAGTAGTCATTGTAGGTTATTCCCAGTAACTGGTAGAATAGCAAACAAAAAATAATATAGCTAGAAGAGAGGTGAACACACATGTCAGATCTTACTACAGGTGAGAATCAGCAAACTATGACCCACAAGCCAAATCCAGACTCCCACCTAACTTGCAAATAAAGTTTTATATGATCCATGACACCTCAAATACGTACTATCTGGCCTTTTGCTGTCAAAAGTGTGCTGAACTGACCCCTGCTACAGATCACACACGCACCAGAATCCTGACTACTTCCATTCAAAGTAAATAGTTGCCAAGCACTTTTTGTGTGAAAACCAGGAGCAAGAATATGCAACATTACCGTAGGGGACAGAGCAGATCCAAAAGTCATGAACTAGCATGATAAAAAAAGGATGCCTTGGCAGCAGGAGGCCTGCAGTATAAATTAGCAAGTGATGACGCAGGAGTGGGGGAGTCCCAGAAGAGGCTGCCAACCATAGTCCAAGGAGAAGGGGAGCAAGCGGGAAGCAGAGCTCCAGCGTGACTTGCCTAGTGACTTGTCCTAGGAGGAGAGGGGGACGGGGACCCAGGAGAACAAAAATGAAGGCGCAAACTTGAATTCAGGTCCCTTGGAAGCAGCAGTCGAGTCAGGAGAAAAAGCTGATGTGAGGAAAGAAAAGGAGCGAGGCTTTGGCCTTGTTGTTAAGATACTATAAGAACATTGAATGAGAGGGCAGGTGGGCATCTGAAGAGGCAAGTGTGGGAGGCACCCAGTGCCAGCCTGTCCACACTCTTCAGGGACAATGCAGAGATGGCAGTCTGCACCTGGCTCACCTGGTCCCTCAGCCTGGCTCTCCATAAACTCATGTCCTGTCTTCCTTGAGACAAAAGTCTCATTCTTGTGTCGGTGGCCATGATCCTGACATGGAATACATTGTGTGCAGCTGAAGGAGGCCTGGGAGTTTTTGTCTGGGTGCTTCAGGCCTCTGTCATGAGCTTTATGCTTTCTTGCTCCTGGTGTTGGGTACCCTTTGCCAATAGCAAAGCATGCATGAGTATAAAATGTTTTTAAAATAAAAATAAATAAAAGACAAGCGTGGACTTTAGAAGTGAGGGTCGGATGAAAGGCCTGACTGGGAGTCATATGCAACAGTGGCTGGACAAGTAGTGATGGCCCAGCAAGACAAATATGGAGTGAGATGAAGACTGAGCCCTGAATCTTGGTCAACACATATAATTTGAGGTATAACCAAAAAAGGGTCAAGAAATAAGACAGAGGAGACGGAGTGAGAAGGACCAAGAATCAGAAAACCACTTTACAAGTGAGATTTAATTGCAGGGCAAACACACACATTTTCTTAAGTAAAATGAAAATATGGTACAACCTCTACATTGGATTAGGCCAGAACACTCATTCTTGGCTAATTTATCTTTAATAAAACACCCAGAAGTGAGAGGGAGGGATAATCATTCACTATCTCAAATACTTGCCTCTCCATTAAAGTTCCCCACAGTACACATGCATCATCCATATGTGTGCAGGGCCCTCCTCTCCTCCATAGCCACAACTGCCCTCTGGTATTCCAGGGCTTCACCCTTGTTCTGGGTGTATAGACAAAACAAGCATTCCCCCATCATGCACATAAAGCAACCATGCCCCATTTTCCAGAGCACCAGCACCTAGACATGGCACTGGCCACACTCCACACTCCAGAGCTGTTCTGCTTGCTGGCTGAGGGGTAATTGAGAGTCTCCGCGGCTGCATTACTGACATGTCGGGCCAGACAGCTCTTGTCATGGCAGGGGTGGGGGCCATTCTGTGCACTGAAGGATGCTTAACAACATCCCTGGCTACCACCCATCAGAGGCTAGGAGCATGCCCTTCCTAGCTGTGATGACCAAAACTATCTCCAGACATTGCTCGGTGTCCCACAGTGTCAGCCCCAGCTGCAAACCTTGATGTGGCTCATGGCTGCCAACCAAGTCTGGGCTTCTGGTGTCCTCTGTCTCCCTGTTGGCTCACACTCCTGCCCTCTCATTACCCTTCCATCCACAGTTCCCACCCCAGAGCTGTTATTTCAGCATCTTGGCTTCTGCCCCTTTCTTGCCTTTTATTACCCAGATCACCCATCTTTGTCTCTTGTGTCATAAATACTATCATAAGTGTGTGCCACACGCCTTTGTAGGGAAAGTGCAACTCTCAGCAGAAACCTCCAGCTCCTCAGAGGGCTCCCTGAGGCCCTGGGAACAAGACCAGTCTCTTCTTTGCTATGCAAATTTCTTGCCGGATGTTCAGGAATGATTTTTCTTCCCACCTGTCTCTAAGTTTAGTTTGTTCTGAAAACATGCAGGATTTTGCCTGCATGAGTGAACATTTTTTCAAAAACAAAATTTAAATAAAAACAGAATCACAACAATCCATATGACAAATTAAAAGCAAGATTAGAGGGGTCATAACATAGTTCTGTAATACAGTGCCACTCATCAATAGCATTTCTTTTTTTTTTTTTTGAGTTAGAGTCTCACTTGGTGGCCCAGACTGGAGTGCAGTGGCCGCTCCCGACCACCGCAGCCTCGCCTGCTGGGCTCCGGCAATCCTTCCGCCTCAGCTTTCCGAGTAGCCGGAATTACAGGCATGTGCTACCATGTCCAGCTGATTTTTTGATTTATTGTAGAGATGAGGTCTTGCTGCCCAGGCGGGTCTCAAACCCGTGGGCTCAGGCAATTCACTCACCTCAGCCTCCCAAAGGCATGGGATTACAGGCTGAGCCACCGAGCCTGGCTATCAATAGCATTTCTAAAAGTATTATGAGTAAAAGAACAAAAAGAAATTTCTCTGACCTCATGAACTTATGCCATACACACACACTAACCTGGTGAAAAACTTCGTTCACAAAATTGATGTAACCACGCGTGGACAGGAGAATCCGTTGCACCATTTCATACACCGTTCGGTGCTCCTCTTCAATACTACACAGGCTGGAGCTGCTGAGTCTGCGGTCGGACAAGGTGCTGCTGTTGGAATGACTTTTGCCCTGCTCTGCAGGCGCTCCACCGTCCAGCTCAGGCACCCTCTCCTGTACTGCACCACCACCTACAGTCTAGAAGAAAGCCAGCAAGCTGCTCAGGGACCCCTCCAACCCACTCCAGAACACCTCGCAAAACTTCAGTCTTGCCTGGTTGAAAGGCCGCTGGGTACCATCAACTGCCTAGGGTACAGCAAGCTGAAGACCAGGAAGTGCTCAAGATACAACAGGCTACCCAGAGGGTACTCACCAGCTTTCTAATTAACCAGCCAACCCCTCCCAATTCAGCAATTTTAAGAGGAAGATGACTAAATTATTTCAGAGAGGAGAGTTGTGAAATGTTATCAACCTATACAGTTTAATTTGTAAAATCACAGAATAAATTAAGGTGCAAATGCAATGGTATTATCATCACATCAGGTCCCCACACCTCAGCATTTACTCTGTGGTTGAGGAGATGTGAAAATTCAGAGACCTCCTGCATGGGATGCATCATTGATTCATAAGACCAGGCGGCACTATGACAGTGGTTTGCCAAGATCTTAAAGGGGCATTTGATCAGGAGAATCTTGATCTTAGTTTATCCTTAGAATCTCAGGTCAAACTTAATAAAATTATTTACAAAATTTTAAATATTTAAAAGTCTTTAGAGGGCAAAAAAAATAAAGTAATTCATGCAATGACTCACAAAGTTTAACATTTATTTCTGTTCACATTTCCCCAAAGACTTAGATTCTCTCCAAATATAAGATACGCATGTGTAATTTTGCTTCATTTTTGTAAACTCCACTATTACTTTTAAATGTCAAGAATATGTAGCCCAAATACCACTAAATGTTACCCACTGTGAATATTTTTTACAAGAAGTAATAAGATATTAGTACAAAATAGTCATTTCAGTAACTACCAAGGACAGTTTGAAAACAAAACAGATATTCAATAGTAATCTCTAGGGAAAATTAATGGAAAATTATACTTAAAATAATCTTTCTCTTCATGCCTTAGTTACTATGCCTGTGTGGCCTATCAAAGCAGTCACACTGAGATGCACTGACCTATAGAAATTATTTCTTCTTTTTGATGGACCCACCATCTTCTGCAGAAAATAAAATTGTACTGATTTTTTTTCTCTGAAGCTTCAGTAGGAATGACCCAAGGATAAAAAAATGAGCATGGTACAGAAAGAAGAGACCCAAAACATGTCTCAAAAAAACGAGCTTCTACACGGCTCTCAGTATGTTGTTATCTCATCTCTTATTGCCACTGTAGCAAATTTCTACTAACTTATTGACTTGAAACACATCACTTTCCAGTTCTGGAAGTCAGGAATTCAAAAATCAGTGATTTTGATTTCCTCATCGGGATTCCACTCATAAACATGCAGATGATGTATACTTTTTAATCTGTGGATCATGTAGGTAAGATTAGGTTTAATGTCTCTTGTGGCTCAATAACCTATGACTTTTTGGCCAGTAACTCCTATTTTCCTCAAAGACTAAAAAAAAGAAGATACGTGTACATATATAGCAAATTAAAGATGACCACAAATTCTTTGACATCCTTTCTATAGAGAGGTGAAGACAGTTCCCTCCCTTTGATCCCCATGGACTATGTGACTGCTCTAACCAGTGGAAGAGACCTGTGCCAGTGTCAGATCCAGGCCCAAGAGGCTGACAGTTAACATATCCCACTCTAGAAACATTTTGCTCTTGGAGCCCTGAGCAGGTATGTGAAAAGTTCACCTACCCTGATAGTGGACAACTCAGAAAGGAGTCTTTGATGAGCCCAGGCACATGGATGAGTTGCCACCAACCCTCCAGACCAGCCAGCCGTGGTGGGCTAAAGAGTGACCTCCCCAACGATGCCTGTGTCCTAACCCCTGGAACCTGTGAATGTGCCATCTTAATGGCAAAATGTTAACAGGTGCAATTAATTGTGGGATGTGGGGTGGGAAGATGAACCAGATGGTCCCAGTGTGATCAAAGGGTCCTTATGAGAGGCTGACTTGGGGATCACATACCAAGAAAGTGATGTGATGATGGAAACTGAGGGAGAAAAGGGAATGTGATGCAGAACCATGGCCCATAGGACAGAGGACACGGTGAGAAAACAGGATTCTCCTTGGGAGCTCCAGCAGGAACACGGAGCTGCCTACCTCTCCATTTTAGCTCACTGAGACTGATTTTGAATTCCTGACTTCCAGAACTGTAAGATGATGTGTTTCAAGTCATTAAGTTAGTGGAAATTTGCTACAGTGGCAATAAGAGATGAGACGACAACATACTGTGAGGTACAATGACAGTCTGTACAATGGCAGACTAGGCACAGCCTCTGCAGGGCACAGCAGTGCAGAGAACACAATGGCGGCCTCCTAGTGTCCCTCCCCAGAACCTTGGCTGCGTGCCTCCTCCCACGCAACCCAGCCACCTCCCAGGAGCTCACGCCATCTGTACTGTGGAGCTTTCACCTCATGGATGCCACTCCTGACACCTCCTGGCCCCTTCACCTGCCAGGCAGTCAGTCATCCAATGCTTTGTTACTGCTCTGGGTGGGCAGGTAAACTAAGCTGGTCCACTCAGACAAAAAGGAAGGGTTTCTATTTCCAGATTCACACTCTCTAAACATGAACAAAAAAAGCAGTGCCCCAGCTGTTGGCAACCACCTTGCAACTAGGGAGAAGTCACAGAACTGTTGGAGGGCAAAGAGCAGGACAGAGTAGAGAAATCCACAGAGAACCAGAGAGAGGAATACGCAAATCACACTCCTAGTCAGCTTGCCATGAGATTCTTCCTGATAAGATGAACACGTTCCTTCTGGGTCTAAGACAGTTTGAGTTGTGGTCCTTTCTGTGTGGGTGATGGAACCACCCTGACTCAAGAGGCCCAGCCCAGAAGACACTAAAAAAGCCAGATGAGAACAGCAGATGTTTTACAGGCATGAAGAGTCAGCTGAGGGGGAAAATGAGAACCTGAAAGCTGTGGTCAGCTCGCTGTTCTTTCTACTTCTCATCATGCACATGTGGTTTTCAAGAACAAGCTATTTATTTATTTATTTATTTTCAATAAATATAAGGGATGTTTTTTGCTTTTTTAACTGAAGAGAAAAGGCTACATTATTTAATTAAAACAGTTTTCAATCGAGTGACCATCATGCAAGGTGTTATGTAAAATTTACCAAAGAGCATGACCAGGTTTCTTACACATAATTTCACACAGATCTTTGTCTACCCAAATATATCATAGTTTTTGTCTCTGACAGGTGAGTTGAGATATCTCATTGTAGTTCAGAACTGACTTTATTCCCTGACTGCTGGTGAAACCCAGTCACTGTGTCCCTCTTTCTGAACTGCCCCTCTGTCTCCTTCACCCCGTCTTCAGTGGGGTCTGTCTCACCACCCATAGGAACTCTATACAGCAAAGACGTGAACTTTTAATGGCCAGGATGACACTTCACAATCTATTGCTTGGATTTGGCTTTATGTCATCTTGTGACAGAAAAAGATTCTCTATTTTTAAAAATAAAGTCATACCTCATTTCTGTTATAGCTTCTGGTTCTATTTCTCCTTAACACAGCCTAGCACTTCCCAAATGTATACATTCCCCTAGATTTCCTGTCTCTTAAATTCTTCATTGTTTTGTTTTCATTATAGACTGTAAATCAATAAGATATTTGCTTGAGTATGTTGTAAGAGGCAAAATTCTAACCAATTATGCCAACAACATTTATTAAAGATTCTTTCTTTTGATCCTAACTGGTATCGAGAGAGAGAGAGAGAGAGACAGTGAGAGACGCAGAGAGAGAGAGAACAGAAACAGAGAGAGAAACAAAGACAGAAAAAAAACAAAGAGAGAGAACAGAGAAAAAACAGAAAAACAGAGAGTGGGAGGAAAAAAGGGAGAAAAAAACAGAGAGAGAGAGAAAGAGACTGACTGACCTCCAAGGCATCAGCAAAACTGCACCAAGTGAAACACACTTCTTGTTCCTGTTCTTAGGGACAAGAAACAAAAACACATACAAAATCATGCTGTCCCAGAGAAGTGGCTGTCCTCTGACCTCCTCAGGTGGCAATGCTCCGCTAAGTAAAAAGTCCCAGGTTACTTATTCTGCCCTCCATCCCCCTCACCCAGTCTTCAGTGGGGTCTGTCTCACTCCACTTGTGTCTGACCAAGGCCAAGAGAGAGAAGGCACAGCAGGACCCACATGAGAAGGGGCTTTCCAATGCCTTGGGGAGGGGTAGCCTTCTAGGGTACCCTTCACAGCTGAGCAAGCAGCCTGAGAGCCTGCGCTGCCGGCTGCTGGTCAGCATCCCTCCCTAAGATGTTGGAGGGCACTTGGCAGTCTCACAGGCCTTCCACGGGTCACCAGCTTGCTTTGAGAGCCTTCCAGGTACTGTGGACTGGTGAAGGCAAGACAGGTTTCCATTCTCATGCTCGAGTGAGGACATGTGAACAGGGAAGCTGGATGTGTGTACACAATAGCTATCTTCTAGAAGGGCTCCCTCCCCTGGAGTCTGCCTGTCATGAAATGCCAACAGCATGCAACAAGCGCTCCCAACACGCAGCTCCCTCTGAGGCCTCAACACAGCAGACCAGAGGGCCAATAACATCGATTCCCTATAACATGTCAGAAACAATGACTCTAATGACCAATGACCATGGTTATGTGTTAATGTGTTTTATCATACAAGCATTAAGAGACAAAAAGCCATTGGATGGCATACCTGGATTATTTTAGGCAGTACATCAACTCCATTTTTAGTGTTTTGTGTTGCAGTTAGATACTTTTTTTCCAAAAAAAAAGTTACAATCCACTTAATAAAAACAACACGAGCTGCCATGTATGGAATTTTTGTGCTATAAAAGTTCTCATTGTCTCGAGTTGTAGCAATATACATTGGCTTTGGTCTCAAATGGGGGATGTCTGGTAGGAAAAAAGACAAAACACATGATTGATTAGGTTAGTTAATCTTAACATTATGTAATCCCTACAAATATTTCAGCTTACAATTAAATAAACATACATTTGGTTCAAATAGCAACTAAGAATGAAGAATCATAAATTATTCTAAAATGGAATTTTTTACTAGGCTCTTTTCCAGTTCCGCCTTGCAATCTGACCAAGAAGGGGTGGTGGTTGTTCTTGTATATATATATAGCTATGGAATATAGTTATGGAAAAACTACGCTAATAACTCTTTTTAACCATTTTGAAAAATTACAGGGGACGATAATTGTGAAAATCTTTTCACATATATTATACCTAATTTAATCTTATTTTATGGCTGGAAAAATATAAAAACATATATGAACTTAAAAAAAATCATTTAGCTATTTTAACATCCAATACTGCTCTAATTAAATCCACTGAAGTTTAGTTTTATTCTCTTTTCCCTTTAGAGAAATCCAAGGAACCAGAATCATTATAATTTATGCTTAAAAGAATTCAGAAAGTCACAGTTCATCTTTGAAGTATCAAATGCAACCTTTTCCAAAGCATTAGCAAGAGGTTAATTTCTAATTCTTTAAATTTCATAATCAATATTAAAATTACATGGCCTTGGATTTGAGATTCTACTTGCCATAATCCAACTCACTATCTTAACTAGTTTGTGTATATGTGCAATACCTGTGTGAGTCAGAAAAAATCTCAATAATTAACTTTTAATCTAGAAATATTAACAACGTACCATGTTTTTCTACAATGAATATAGACTACACATAAAATCAGAAACAATTTTGAAACATATATATGTAAAGCTAAGACAATCCATGTCCTGGTAGCCCCAGAAATCTGCACTTCCACATCTCACCAAGTTTAGGCTGCTCTCACCTTGCCTGAATGCACGCATGTGTGTGTGTATACACACACATGCAACACAGACAATGAAATTAGCTGGCCAATTTCTCCGATAAACTTATATCCTTTATGCCTTCTTTCTCTTCAAATCTATTCTTGTTTATTTAAAACAATTTCACCTGCTTTAAATAATAGTGAAAGGAAGATTCACCCCTCACTTGCCAGCAGCATTCTGAGGGACGCTTCTGTCCTGGGAGTCCTCATTTCTTATAGAAGAAAAGCTTCAGGAGCTAAATACGAAATTCAGTCATGTTTCCTAGGCTTCTAGGGCTTACTGTCCACAGTTTGTCGTCACCCAAAAGCCTGCCCTCCATGAGCAGTTGTCGGTAGTGTTTGCGGAGGTGAGACCCATGAAAGCAAGGGCACACTGTGGGCAGCTGTGGCCCTGGGCTGGCCTGCCTGGCCATTGAGCATGGTCACACACTGCACATTCACAGGGAAAGGCATGAGGAAGTGCAAGCTTTTTCTCACTGAAACACAGCAAGTACAATTACACCAAAAATAGCATGGTATGTTTCAAATTACTCCTGAGTATAGGCGCCTCGGTTCTGCTTTATTGCTGTAAGCTGAGGTGCATCTTAGTTGATCCAAATAGTTGGAAACACCTATGAAGAAACTTTACACCTCTTTCAATAAAGTCACCATTCAGCACAAGCATGAAAGGGCTGCTTTACTATAAAATACTCAAAGGCCACTTTGAAAGAAACTACAGTTTTCTGCGACGTCCTCTACACACGGCTCCCACAGTACTTACCAAGCACAGGTTTGTAGATGTTTGTTAACTTAGTAAATGATGGAAATAAATGAGGAAGATAATATTTTCGAAACAATGTAAAAAGAAATTTAAAACCAGTATCTTGATTTTCCTTATTCTTCCACTCCAAGCTTGCAGCCTTTGGATAATATGTGGAAAAGAACATATGTATATTTATATTTTAAATTAACATACACTAAATTGAAATGCTGTTGTTATTAAAATTATTATGCTAAATTAAAAAGTGACAAATAATATTGACAATCATGCAATGAAATCAAAACAAAGCTCAAAAGATGATAGAAATGAATATTTCAAAACAAAACAGTAACTATGTTAAAAATAGTATTTTAATTGAGTATTTTAAAAAAATCACCCAGTGATACGGTATCTTTTCAGACCTACTCTATTACTGCATGTCCATATTTTTCCCACATGTTCTTTGTAGTGATTTAACATTTCTGTGCCTTTGAAACATTGTCAGAAACAGGTACTTTTCTTTTCTAAACTCAAAAAGGCCATTTATAATTAATAGGAGTTAAAAAAAACAATGCCTCTCAAGAATTTCACCTAATGTTTCACCCACATGCAAAATCAATATCAAAAGGCAAAAACTATAAACTCTTGGGAAATGTATCCTCCTTATTCAAGCAATTCACTAGCTAAGATCAGCCAGGCCCACCAGGCCAGGTATCAGTGAAGTTTACAGTTTTCTTCACACTGAGATGATCTTCTCCCCTTCAGGCACCCATCACAATGTCTGCTAGTGGGAACACTCAGGACTGCTTCACAGCTGGGACCACCCCATAGGACCAGGAGAACAGTCTGCTCACAGAGGGGCAGTCACTCACATTACTTAGGGGAACGCAGGGCAGAGAGGGCCCCAGAGGACCTGCCAGTGGTTCTGAACACCTGTTGGGCCCCAGAACACTCTAAGCAGGGTTCCCAACTTCCTTCACCACCTGCCCACTTGAGAAACAATAATTCTGTGCAGGAACTGCGGCAAAGGGATGTGGTGCTGTGGCTGCCCCATGGGAGAGGGGCTCAATGTTCATAACTCAGGAGCTCTGAGAACTTATCCCAACAGAAGAGAGGGCAGGAGGGAGGTACAAATGCTGTACACCACTAAAGCATTCACAGTTTGCATGCAAACCACTATCCTACATCAATGCCATCACCCTCTAATGGGGTCGTGAGGATGACATAACTTATCCAAGGTCATATAACTCTTTAGTGACACAACTAGAATGAGAACCCAAGGTCCCCAATGCATCTGAGTTCTAAATACTCCATGTTGACTTCCCAGGACAAATGGAATGTCCAACTACTTCTGAAAAGATGGCATTAGAGGTGCACAGAGAACAAGCCATTAGGGTTCAAACGTGGTGCTTCCAGATAATGAAAGCACACCCCAGGTGGGCTCTCAAGATTCTGAAGTCCTTGTGTTTCTGGGGTTGGCTAAAGCGAATGGGAGAAGGGCAGGGATAAAATTGCTAAGTACTCAGAAAGAACAGCCACATATGGAATCTTGAGGGTAGCAGAGGAAAGCACAATTCTCTAAAGAAAACTGGAAAAAGGTGAAAGAAAAGGAGAGAGAAAACACCATGAGAGGAGAGGATCTCAGAAAGGAGGGTAGTTGCTATCAAGTCACCTCAAAGAATGAGTAAAGCCAAAAATGAAGAGTGCCCTCCCTCTGGGTTGACCATGAGAACTTCCCTGTGGGTTGGGGCCTGCCACCTTAGCGTAACAGGGTAGAAGGCAGTCACAGGGGTGTCAAAGGAACATAAGGTGAGGAAGTGGCTTGGCAGAGATGATAATTCAACAACTCGGCTGAGGGGAAAGACAGAGACTGGACTACACTCAAGAGAAACCTGGGGGTAAGAGAAGTGTGCCTGAGAGAAAAGAAGCAGCAAATTTTTTTTCTAACCATATCAGCATTTAGAAATATAGACCAATGCTGGGTGTGGTGGCTCAAGCCTGCAATCCCAGCACTTTGGGAGGCCAAGACAAGAGGATTGCCTGAGCCCAGTGGTTTGAGATCAGCCTGGACAACTTGGAGAGATGTTGTCTCTACAATATATCAAAAAAGTAAGCCGGGGATGGTAGCATGAGCCTAAAGTTCCAGTTACTTGGAAGGCTGAGATGGAAGGATCGCCTGAGCCCAGCAAATGGAGACTGCATTGGCTGTGAGCGTGCCACTGCACTCCAGCCTGGGTGACAGAGTGAGATCCAACTCAAAAAAAAAAAAAAAAAAGAAAACAAAAAAAAGAAATATAGACCAAGAGACAGAAATCACCTATTAACTTCACAAACTAACGATTTCACCCCTGAATGCAGTTGGTGAATATAAGAAAAAAAATGACATAAACCTATGTGCTGCCGATGCAGTAAGATCACTGCATATGCATTCCTTTGGGCTGCCTGGTCTGTACTGCCTAGACCTGGTCCATCCTTTCAGCCTCAGGCCTGCCTCCTCCTCCATCCTGTCCTGCAAGCACAGAATCAGGGCTAGGGGAGGGGCAAGATGGGAAAACAGTTTAAACACACTCACGCAAAGCAGTACTTAAGCCTGGTCTTGCTGAAGTGACCTGACAATGGCACATACTGTGTTTAGTGAAATGTCACATGATACCTCAGCAAAAAAGCAAAAAGAAAAAATATGGACATTCAGAGAGACAAGTGGCAATTCTTTCTCTTTCCTATAGAGAATAAGCCCATCACTGAAATATTTACGATTTTCCTCTGACCTGAATAACCATATACTTCAACAGTATTTGAAGAAAAAAGCAGGTTTGGTCCTCAGCAATCTTTTCCCCGGATACAGCTGGCAGGAGAGGAGCAATTTCTTCTGGATATATCTTTGCTGAAGGGTGGAAAATAATGAGAGCTTTTTCACCAAAGTTAAATTGTAAACAGGACTTAGAGTTTTAAAAGCAGTCTCCATTAAAATACTTCTGTCCATACACTGCAGCTGCTTGTCCTGAGCTCCAAGTCAGGGTGCACAGAGGGCCCGGAAACCCCACCTAGACACCCATGAAGCCCCCTCCCACAGGGACATACTTGCCCTTTCACATTCTGCTTTGGTCAACCCAAGAGCAAATGTCAGTGGCAGGACAATAAAGTAATGTGCAGTGATAAACAAATGGCCCTAATAGGCAAGTTCCTTGGAAACTTGCAGGACAGAAATGGCCGTCACCAACAGGAGACCACTATAGTACTTCCACAAATGCTGCATGAAAATACACAGCTGTCAAAATAAGATCCCATGTGAGCAGATGAATGTCTACTCATGAAGTAATAGTGAGAGAACAATAGACAGTCATTGTGGATGGTGGAGTGAAATCTCATTAACAGCCACACAAACACTCCACACTATCCATGTGTCTCTGCTTCCTACTATTACCAAAATCTATCCCCTCCCTTTACTCCTATTTCCATCACTTCAGTGAACTTCTCTTTCATTTCATACGAAATAGCTTCCAAGTCTTTTGATTCTAACATTTGTAGGAATCTACTATGAATATGAACAGGGAATGATTCCCTTTCAGATGCCATTTACAAAATCAGAGTTTCTATTTAAGAAAATGGAAAACCGAGAATTCCTCACTGTAAGTTGAAGAGTGATTGCAACAGGTGAGAACTACTCCCATAACTTACCATCAGCTACATTAGGGCTAGGGTTGATGAGCGTCTCGAGTGTGCAGGGCCCCCGGGACGACAGGACGGCCGGGAAGCCAGGCACGAGGCAAGCAAACATCAGCACCTGTTCTTCCGCACAATTTGTCTGAAGTGCTTGGAGCCACAAAAGAAACAGCCTGATTCCTTCACATCTTATCTACAAGAAAATTAGAAGCAATGAACAGGCATAGGCATTGGTGTAGAAATGCACTGCAATGTAGCATCAGTTCTGAGACAGAGAAACCAGAAGTTAAAGGTGTCCTTAAAGCACTACACCAAGTTCCTCACTTAGTGACGAGTACAACCAGGCTGCACCATAGCACAGAAGTCAAGAGCTGGAGCTCCGGAGCCAGAGTGCCTGGGCACAAACGCAGGACTCACCATTTTCTGGCCAGGACCCAGAGAGAACCATTTACCTTTTCCATGCCTAAGTCTCCCCATCTGTAAGACAGGCATGATGAAAGCACTTCCCACAAAAGACTGTTATGGAGATTAGGTGCTTTAACACACGTACAGCACATGCAACAGTGCTTGGCTCACAGGGAGCACTGCCAAATATTTTCTTATAGGACTTAGTTCCAAAAGGCATCAGTGCCATATCATCAACGCTGGATTATCCTTAAGAACAATGACAAAGATAATCTTCCCCCAAATTTACACTGTGCTGTCACCATAATATGCTAAATCAACAATGGTCTTGAAAATTAGAACTCTTGAAGGCTGGGCTCAATGACACCGTGCAGCTCTCCAGTGTTCCTGCCCTGTGTCCCCACTCTATTCTCCCAACACCTTTGCCACGCTCTGAGTAGTCACCTGGCAGAAACATCAACTCAGGTAGGCATATCCTTTTTCCTCCATCCTATTCCTAGATTTCAAAAACACACAGCTCTTCATTTCTGCATTCCCAAATGGCTGAAGAGATGATATAAATAAAAGAAACTACATAAGCAAAAGAAACTGAAGGAAAAAAAAGGTCCAACTCAGCCAAAAGATGGAGTGAGCTCCAAATGCAGGCAGCTGGGGTGATTGCCAGGTCTCCTTCCATGCAACTCAAGATGGTGCTGACCCCACGAGAGCAAGAATTTGGCAAGGCAGACGCAAGAGAGACATATCGATATGTAACTGGCATAAAACAACAAATGTATCATATATATAATGAGAAAAGGTGTGACTGCCTTCCAACAGAAGTTGAAATACACCCAGACAGAATCCTAGCTGCTAACAGCACACCCCATTAACAGAGTGGGACCACAGCATACTTCCACACGTGCTCCTGGACCCCGCCACTGCGCTGCACAAAACTCCATGTCCACTCACACCTGTCATCCCGCCCCATAGGTGAGATGAGTGATAATGCAACACTATTCACTCATCACATAAAAAAATGACACAGTTCTGTATATATTTCAATCAAATGTATGTAATTTAACAGGAGGAAATTCTATCACAAGTCTCTAATTATTTATGCTAATTGTATTTAAGAGAACTAAATACAAATAAGGTTAATAATAAACACGAGTTAACAGACCAGGCACAGTGGCTCACACTCGTAATCCCAGGGCTTTGGGAAGCTGAGGGGAGAATCACTTGAGGCTAGGAGTTCGAGACCAGCCTGGGCAACTTAGGGAGATCCTGTCCCTACAAAAAATGCTTTAAAAATAAGCTGGGCATGGTGGCGCACACCTGTAGTCCTAGCAACTCAGGAGGCTGAGACAGGAGGATTGCTTGAGCCCAGAACTTTGAGGCCGCAATAAGCTATGATCACACCACTGCATTCCAGTGTATATGGCAGATCAAGACCCTGTCTCAAATAAATAAACAAACAAGAGATATCAACCTGATAGGTTTTAACTACAAGACTATTTCCTCAAAATGGGAGGGCCAGAATATGGAATCTAGGGTGAGGTTAGTAATAGATCACTTCTTTTTTCCAACAAATAATAAATAGTTAACATATCAAGTTTTAAGTGGCTGTGACTGTTTAAACTGATATAAAACAAAACATGCATTATCTTATTAAAGACATTCACATGACTCAATTAGCTACAAGTGAATTTTCTTTCATAGAAAATTCATCCCAGGCTGACTTTTTTCTGCCACTTCCATTTTAGGGTCATGTTATCTCAGCATCAAATGGTACATGTCATCATAAAAGGTATATTCATTTTTAAATAAACCTATATTAACCTACATTACAAGATGAACCTTCTGCAAGTCAAATATTCAAGAGTGAGGCCCTGCTATTCTTTTCTATCACAATGGGTTTCAAAATTAGCATAATTTTAGCAAAAAGATTACTAAGGTAGACAGAAGCAAGCTCCTGAGCACTGACACTTAAAGTGGGATCACCCTTCCTTTTTCTAGTGATGAAACTAGAGCAGTCAGTGCCTGCCCCTCTTGCCACACCCAGCAGAATCAGAATTAGAACTCAGAACTCTAGAATCCAAAGCCCAAGCCACTTACTCCTAACACTATTAAGATGTCTCTTGCAATGTGAAAGACCTTTACAATGAAAACTACAAAGCACTGCTCAAAGAAATCAAAGATGACACGAACAAGTGAAAAAATATCCCATGCTCATGGATTGGAAGAATCAACATTCTTAAGATGTCCATTTTACCTAAGGCAATCTACAGATTTAACGTAATATCCATCAAACTACCAGCAACATTCTTCTCAGACCTAGAAAAAACAATACAGGAATTCATATGGAAACATAAACTACCAAGAATAGCCAAAACAATCCTCAGCAAAAAAAAAAAAAAAAAACAAAAAACTAAGCAGGAGGTATCACACTCCCAGACTTTAACCTTTATTATAAAGCTACAATAATCAAAACAGTCTGGTATTGGTAAAAGAACAGGCATATAGACGAATGAAATAGAACTGAGATTCCAGAAGCAAAACCTCAATTTTTCAACCAACTTATCTTCGACAAAGACTCCACCACCCACTACTGGGGAGAGGAGAATCTATTCAGTAAATGGTGCTGGGGAAACTGGCTGACCACATGCAGAAGATTGAAACAGGACCCGTACCTATCTCCATACACAAAAATTAACTCTAAATGGATCATAGACCTAAATGTAAAACCTCAAACTGTAAGAACCTTAGAAAATGCAGGAAACACTCTTATGGAAGTTGGAACTGGCAACCGATTCCTGATCAAAACCCAAAGTGCTCAGGCCATAAGAGATAAGATAGACAAGTGGGACCTAATTAAACTGATAAGCTTCTGTAAAACCAAAGAAACCATCAAGAGAACAGGGAGACAGTCCACAGACTGGGAAAAAATATTTGCCAACTCTCTGTCTGACAAAGGCCTAACATCAAGGATCTACAAGGAAGTCAAATGTGCTAAAAGAAAAAAACCAACAACCCCATTACAAAGTGGGCAAAAGATATGAATAGAGACTTCTCAAAAGAAGACATACGAGCAGCCAACAGATACTTGAAAAAATGTTCAGCTTCACTAGTCATCAAGGAGATGCAAATTAAAACTACACTGAGATGCCACCTAACTCCAGTCAGAATGGTCATCATCAATAACTCAAAAAACAACAGATGCTGGAGAGAATGTGGCGAAAAGGGAACACTTCTACACTGTTGGTGGGAGTGTAAACTAGTACAACCTCTGTAGAAATCAGTGTGGCAGTTCCTAAAAGTTCTAAAAATTGACCTTCCATATGACTCTGCAATCCCCCTACCGGGAATATACCCAGAAGAACTCAAATCACTCTATAAAAAAGATACCTGCACACGTATGTTTATTGCAGCATTGTTCACAATAGCAAGAACATGGAACCATCCGCGCTGCCCATCAAAAGAGGACTAGATAAAAAAATGTGGTACCTATACACAATGGAATATTACGCAGCCAGAAAGAAGAACAAAATCATGAACTTCGCAGCAACCTGGATGGAATTAGAGTTTATAATACTGAGTGATCTCTCACAGAAACAAAGAGCTGAGTATCACATGTTCTTGTTCATAAGTGGACCTTAAACAACTACCAAAATACTATAAGAAAAGGATAGACAGTAGCGGGAAACTATTGGGGGGGTGGGATTGATAGTAGTTAATATCTGCCTGGGGTAGGGGGGGCATACCTCATCAACAAGGGTACCTGCACAGTGAATATTTGTATACCTCACCCTGAATTGTACCCCACAATTTTAAAATAAAAATTAAAAGAGGAAAAAAAAAGTCTCTCACAAAAAGTTATGATGGTGTAAGAAAAAAACCCTAACAATATTTGCCATATATCCTTTCTCAATTAAAAATAAAAACAAAGTCAAAAAAACAAACAAAGTCAACTGTTTTTAAAGATCTTTTTTTCCAAATGGCCTAACATTGTTACTTTGTGGCATTAACAAATTTAAGAGTAATAAAAAGTGCTATTACACTTTCATCTAAAATAAATACCTTAATAGAATTTCCAGTGTGTAGAAGCTTCTTTAAGGTTGAGCCTGAAAGTTTAAAACAATGAATTAGAAATAGAATATATAAATGCATATTTGAGATCTACTTTTAAAAGACCAATTTTAGAAAGAAAAAATGGGACTTATGACAAAAGGTGTAAATTTTTTAATACAAAAGGAAGAAGGCTGACCTTCAGAAGCAAAGCAATGTCACAAAAGGAAGGAAGTTTTTAAGATGAAAGTACTTTAGGTATGTATGTCTTCAAAATTCCTTTAAAACAGTCAAAATGATTGATTTTAAGGTAACCCAGATGTCCACACTGGATTACATGCAAATATCTCTTGTCATGCATAAAATTAATGATTGTTTTAATCTCTAAAGGTAAAAATAATGTAAAACGACTGCTCACAAAACACATTTACAAGCATATTTGACAAATATTCAGGATGGCATGTTTCTCTCCTGGCAATGACGACCACATTTATGGGACTTGGTCCCTCAATAAATCTTCTAGCAGAGCGCTTTGGTCACTGTCAAGGTGACAGACAAGATTTACTCAGAACTACACCAGCTGATACAAAAAGTTTGGTGCTGCAGCTCACTGTAATGAGAAAAGTCTCTAGGAGAATGGAAACCTGTTACCAAGTACTCTACAGACTGTTCACGCCCTCAGTATGGAGGTGGCCTGGCAACCCCAACAGCTTATTACAGGTAGCCTCTATAAACGGGATCTTACCCTCAAAAAAGAGATGACCTTTAAAATAGAAATATATTGGAAGTCTTAGGCAAGAGAACTTTTCTCAATCAAATTACACATCTTCTAAGAAAAAAATTACTTAGCTCTCCTGATGAAAAGTTTTGTGCAATATTTAAAAAACAGATGTCAAATCATGTTTACTCCACCAACGAATTTCAAAGAGCTGTTACATGAGAGGAAACCAGCACTGTGATGACTGACACAGCTATGCTATGTGGCCAGATGCATACATGATAGTCAAATGCATATGCTTTAGAGGTTCAGTAGTCAGAATAAAATCACTGGCAATCTGAAGGAACCTTTGATAACTGCTCACTGAAAACTCATTGTCATGGCTCAGTCTAGGTTACAGCATGCAAATCACTATTAGTTTGGGACTGAGTGAAGGAAGTTAAAGTGCCTCCCCTTCCTCACATCTCTTATCACCAAACCATATCTAGTCATTTTGGGTCTAGAGTGGCATTTACCAGGCTGGACTCTCTCACAGCTACTGTTCAAGGACAGTGACTGAGGACTTTTCTACCCTCCACCTTTCCTCAACCAGGGCCTTGTTCCTCACCCCCAGGTTCATTCATTCTTGGACAAAGTCTGTTCTGCCTCAGTTTAGCATTTGTTCCATTACACTTTATGAGGACAGTATGATGGTTGGCAGAGCCAACAAACACTGGCCCTCCCAGGAGACTGGGGATCAAGTCTGCACAGCGAACTCTCCTCTCCTAGCCAGCTGGCTGCTCCATCATTTTGCAACACATTCTCAGAAATACATTATCCTAGCCATTATGGACCCATACCAAGAAGGTGATGGTCTAACTAGCACCAGTGGTCACACACCACTAGAGGATAGAGGCCGTGTGATCAGACTGAGATCTGCATGATGATACGGGTCTGAAGACCACTATGGATTGAAGGAGGGGCCTCATGGACAACCTGGCATGAAGGAAAAGGACCTGGAGAGAGAATACAGCCATGGGGGAAAGAAGGTCACTGGGCAGATCAGAAGGCACAGAGCAGCGAGGAAGGAAAAGCTGCATGGTCACAGGAAAAGGGCTTTCACTGAGGGCATCATGATGATGCCTGGAATTAGTACAGAAGCAAAAAAAGGCCCGATCTGGTCCCGCCCAAAGGAGACAGAAGAGTCTCAGACAGACGTCAGGTTCCAAGTGGCCAATGAAGTAAGACAGAGGCTGAGGTGGAAGGGCTGTTCCTTCACCCAAGAGGACTTCCCGAGGGCAGACCCAAAGAAGTGCCTGGGAGGGAAGGAAACACAGGGCAGTATGGTGAGAGTGCACAGAGAGGATCCTGGAAAGACACCCATGAGTCAGCCTCATTCTGCTGGGTGCAGTCGCTCTAACCATCCCCTCATACAATGACATGTAGGGTCCCTGGATTTTGCTCTGCTTGGCTGTGACACCTTCAGAGGGGGTTTTGTGGACCTGTATACAAACCAGTTTCTACCCAGTTTGATTAATCATGCAGAAATATATTTATCTGAAGAGAGCCTTGACTCCAGTATTAAGTATGAAAAAATAAACAAGGATGATTTTCTATGCAAATGCTCATACTTCAGAATTATAAAATCTGACTCATTCTGACCACTTCACAGTGACAGATTGCTCGACATGCCAGATAAACTACTGTTAGGACAGCTCCAAAGACAGTACTCGGCATGTCCAGTGGAGGAGTCTGGGCCTCCAGTCACTGTTCTTGCTAAGATGTTACAAACTGGGTAAAAAGCTACTTGTACCAGCAGTTTTAACCAGTTGATGTGGCATTAGGCAGAATTAAAGTAACACCAGTAGTTTTAACCAGTTGATGTGGTATTAGGCAGAATTAAAGTAACACCACGTAGCCGGGCTCGGTGGCTCAGCCTGTAATCCCATGCCTTTGGGAGGCTGAGGTGAGTGGATTGCCTGAGTCCGTGGGTTCAAGACTCTCCTGGGCAACTTGGCCAGACCTCATCTCTACAATAAATCAAAATGAGCCAGGTGTGGTAGCACGCGCCTGTAGTTCCAGCTACTCGGAAGGCTGAGGCGGAAGGATCGCTGGAGCCCAGCAGGTCGAGGCTGCGGTGGCCGGGAGCAGCCACTGCACTCCAGTCTGTGTGACAGAGTGAGACTCCAACTCAAAAAAAAAAAAAAAAAAAGTAACACCACATACTATCTACCAGATGTATAAAGTTTCACAACACAAATGCAAATTAATTTTCCCATATAGCTCTAATAAGTCTATACATTCTGGGAAGGGCCTGTTAATCTTCAGACATTCTAAAGGGCTCTGAGGAAAATGAGTATAGTTTTCATACACATGGTAAACAATAAACAACATTCTATCTAGCCCAGATGAAACACTCTGTATGCAATCAGTCCTCACTGTTACCATGCCTACTATCCACGGAGTCTTACAAAGCCCCATGGTGTCTCTTTAACTATACTTTGCATTTAGATTTTTTATTTTTACTTTAATTTAAATACATAAGCCCAAAGCTGCAATTAAACAGAAATGCTATGAACAACTCTCCAAATTTTAAAGAAAAATTTTCTTTGTGTATCTGAAAGATCAAGGCTCTATCTTAAGGTAATGATTTAACTCATTCACAAGTTAATAGATGTATTCACTACCTATACTTCACTTTCTCTAAGCCACATTTAGAGCAAGCGATAGATCCATTTTCTTCCAAATTCCATGTTGGACATGTCTTGGATTTAATTACCATACCCAGTAAACTACATTGGTGGTCTCAATAACATAAAACACTGCTGAAAATTCAACTGAAAGAAATCCATATTACTAAAAAAAAAAAAGAAAAAAGTTTTAAAATTATTCTTACCTATACTCTGGTAATGCCATCGAAAGAAAATTCGTTCAGGTAGAAACTGCAGTATTTTCTATTAAACAAAAAAGAAACAACAATTGAAATCACACATTTTCATGACAGACCCATATTACTTGCTATATAAAAGTTTCATAAAATGAAAAGAATACTACTCATAGTAACACAAATACTGTACTTTATGCTGTATTCCTATGGGACAGTTTCTTTTACTTGCCCAGGCAAGCTTCTTTCCCTGAATATTTTTAAAAATCACTGTCCGAAGTTTAATTCCCTCCAAAAACACATACATACACACATACACACACACACACACACACACACACACACACACACACACACACACACAAAGCCTAAAGTGATAACTTTACCTCAATCAAATAAGTCACTGCTTAAATATTAAAAGAATAATTTCCCAAATGAGATTCCCCAGGCGGCTTGTTTTCACCTTCTCCTTCCCATTGCCATTATAATCATTATTTGTCTCTGGACAAAGAACAGGAACAGAATTGGAAGAAAGATGAACAACACAGAGGATCAGACCTTAAACTATGCAGTGAAACAAGAATATGGAAAAAAAAAAAAGAACATGGAATCGGTAGAAAGAATTTTGTGAAATTAATGGGTCAAAAAGTGGGTTTTAAGATTGTAGTTATGAACGCTCCCAAACTTTCATAACTTCTAATTTTTAGATTCCACATATAAGTGAGATCATGCAGCATTTGTGTTTCTGTATCTGGCTTATTCACCTACCATAATGTTCTCCAGGTCCCTTCACACTGTCACGAATGACAGGACTGCCTTCTCTGTTAAGGCCGAGTAATATTTCATTATGTATCTATACCACATTTTCTTACCCACTCACCTACCGATGGACACTTAGTACACCATATCTTAGCTCCTGTGAATAGTGCTATGAGATATCTCTTCTACATACTGATGTCAGTTTCTTTTGGATGTATACCCAGTCATATAGTAATTTCATATTTAGTTGTTTGAAGAACTTCCATACTGTTCTCCATAGTGGCCATACTAACTTAGATTCCCACCAACAGTGTACAGGATTCCCTTTCTTCCACATCTTTGCCAATCTGTGTTATCTTTCTTTTTTTATACAAGTAATTCTAACAGGCATGAGGTGACATCTCACTGTAATTTTGATTGCATTTCCCTGATGAGTAGTGATGCTAAGCACTTTTTCATAAACTTGTTGACCACTCATATGTCTCCTTTTGAGAAAGTCTATTAAGTCTACTTGTTACCTCTTAATCCTATGACTCTAAAAGGTACCTCTTATCTCCTGTTACTACATGAAAATTCTGATGTGTACTCTCAAACACACCCTCACATATCCCAAATCCCATCTAGACACTAGACCACAGGTTCCACATGTGAAGCACACAAATAAAAGACAGATGAATAAAATATGTGGTTCTTGCTTTCCAGTATTTCCTGATTAGTGGGCAGGAAAGACAATAAAGAAAAAAATATCATTCAACCAAAAAAAAAAATCTCTGGCAGAAGTTTGAATGAGGCACTGCAAGGTGAGAAGAAAGTGTTCCCCTCAGCAGGGGCTTCAAGGAAAGAGGACCTTCCTGGGAAAGAAGATGCTTAAGCTGAGACTTGGAGGATTCGCCTAGCAGTGAACAGGGCAAAGGAAGAGAGTGGAGATGCCAAGAGACAGAGACAGCCTGGTGCCTGAAAGGAGCCACAGCAGCAGGAGGGTCAGCATGACTGGAGAGGGGAGAAGGGGAACAGACAGGACTGGGAGGGGAACAATGAGGCCGCCCATGTCCCCTTGGGAGCAGCACACCAATTCTGAGCGGGTTCCAGCTGGGAGAGACTTGCAACACTGAAAGGAGGCAGCAATAATCATGGAAGAGGCAATGGCAGCATTTCAGAGGAAAGATGAATGGGCCTGGACCATGGTGGGCAGGGGAAGGAAGAAGTAGTAACAGTGACAATGTTCAGGCAAGACTGTCAGGTCAGGAAGGCTGAGCAGCTGCGGGAAATGGGGGACACCCCACACTGCCCCCAGTGACTCAGTAGATGGTGATGCTTTCATCCAAGAGACCAAGTCAAGGAGGAATCCAGGACCTGAGGTACCATGGATGCCCTTAGTGGAGATGCTCTAGACAATCAGAAAACTGACACATAACTCTAGAACCAGGGCAGGACTGGAGGGCCACAGGACACAGGTAGCCACCAGAGATGTGTGTATGCGGGCATCTCCAGGAGAAGGGGCCAATGAGAAGACAAGGTGAGCCTGGAGTTGTCCTTGAGGGAGGGATCCTGCTCAGAAGGGAAGGAGGGAGAGCAGGAGCGAGGCAAATGTGCTCAAATCAAACGAGGAGGGTGCCAGTTGCTTGTGTGCTATGTGTGTTATTGATATGCCAGCTGTTTGCACGCTTATATATTTTAAAGATTAGAAACATTTCTGACTATTTCTATGCACAACTAGTTTTGAAAAGCCAAAGACACTAGAAAATGTGGGGAAATGAATATCACATTAGAAAAGGACTTGGATGTTAAATTGAATGAGTGCAATGTTCTCTCTTGCCTGGAGAACCCATGGCCTCTGTCCACCAGACACCCACACCAGGCAGGACCCACTCATTGTAGAGATGCAAACAACTGTTTGAAGATAAAAAGATCCACTGAAGTCTTCACCTTGCAATATACACCAGCATGAATTTTAGATGAATGACACAAAAAAGGCACTAATATAAAAACTGGGTTGTCATGTTTCATTACACTCCACTACATTGAAAGGGAAGGGAATAAGTAAAATGGTTCTCCATTGACTGCCTTACTGAGAAGCCACATGTGCACTGCCCAGCCAACAGAATGGAAACCCGCACGTCCCCATGAGCTGTAGAACACGACACGGATGGGAGCAAGAACCTACAGAGTTGGACCCAGTCCACAGGCAAGGGGATTAGAACAAGAAGCCCAGCAGCTCTGGAACTGAGAATAAGGACAAGCCAGGTCTCAGCAGTTAGCCTGCAGCCAGGCCAGGCCTGCAACTGCAGAGCCTCAAACAAGCACATCCCAGGGATGACCTAGGATCTCCAGACTCAAAATGGAGAGGTGGCCTCCTTCTGCACCTAAGTTTTAGGATTTTCTTTTTCTTTTTTTTTTTTTGAATCAGGCAGAATTGCAATGGCACAACTATAACTCACCGCAGCCTCAACCTCCTGAGCTCAGTCAACTCTTCCACCTTAGCTGAGTAGCTGGGACTATAGGCTCATGCTACCACATCCAACTTTTTAAAATTTGTTTTGTAAATCTGAAGTCTCTCTATGTTGCTCAGGCTGGTCTCAAACACCTGGATTCAAGCAATCCTCCCGACTTAGCCTCCCAAAGTGCTAGGATTACAGATGTGAGTCACCATGCCTGGACAAAGTTGTTTTTTTTTTAATTTGTTTGTTTCTTTTGCTGTTTTTTGTTTTTGTAGATATGGGGGTTCTGCTATGTTGCCAAGACTGGTCTAGAACTCCTGGCCTCAAGTGATCCTCCTGCCTCAGTCTCTCAAAGTGCTGGGATTAGAGGTATGAGCCACTGTACCTAGTTGATACTGACACTCATACTTCACCAAAAAATGTACTAGAGATTCTAGTTTAGTATCTTTGATAACAAATTAACAATAATCATTCTGAGCAGAACTCCCTGGAAAACATGCTGCAGTGGAGGAGGTAGGAGTATAGACGGTCTACTGAAGAGTGGCACTGGTGAAGGAGAGAGAGGGGAAACAGGGCTGGGCAGGGAGCCTCTGACCACAAGGCAGGGTGGGCAAATCCTATCAGCTGATGGGAGTTCCAGAGTTGAGGAAAGGAGTCCTGTGTGATGAGAAACGGCCTATGCAGGCACTGGCTGGGCCTGTGAGGAGCTGTATGTGCCCAGGGCTGGGAGCCACAGGTAGAGACAGCAGAGCCCATCAGCTAAACCCCTTCCTGGAGGGGCACACGGACAGCACGTCTCCACATGTGCCATAATAATTCTCCAACTGGTAATGAGGATATTCTGAGAGAAGTGTCCTCTCCATTACAGCCATGGCCTCCCTGCTGGCACTGCTCCTCATCAGTGAGAAAGGTGTGTCTCTCACCAGCTGGCGGCCATGGCAAGTCCATGGAAGCCTGGTCCCACTGAGGCTTTCTACGCTTCCCTGCCTCCCTCCACGCAGCTCACTCTAGCTGAGTGAGAGGCACAGCAAGGGCCTGGTGTCCTATCTCTCATGCATCCTTCTTCAAGGGGACCTGGCATCCCAGTTCATTCCAGAATCATCCTCTGAGTCCATCTGCCACTTAATTGTAAGATGTCACATAGGAAGTGCTGAGAAAATTAAAGATTCAGGCTAGATGGTATCCTACACTAGATGAATGCTTGACATGCCCATGGCAATTCAAATCTTTAATGTAGTCAGAAACCAATTTGACAATGATTCATGCTTTTCTGTTTTCCAAAATATACACTGGTCTTCTTGATTTAGTTTTCTGTTGTTAGTATGCAACAAGAAAACAGAAAAGCAAGATGTATACTTAGGTTCTTTGATGCTGTCAGTCTGTCACAAAAGTTGCCTCCAACTTATTCTGAGGTCAGGCCTATCATCACCACTTCTGGATAAGTTTTCAGGTTTACACAATGGAAGGACTTTAAAGGCACTCAAAAATAAACTCAATAAGGTTTGGATGTGACATACATACCCAATATCTGAGCTACTAAAAATATTTCTAAATGGATAGTGTCTTATACAACAATTCAAAGGCTGAAACATTACCCATGCTGAGGCTTTTTTTTGTGCCCAAATATTGTAAGGGCCATTTTTCACACATTAAAGTCTATAAGGTCAATAAAAAATAAAGCCCAACACAACCATCTATGTCTAAATGCTAAGCCTGTCCCTCAGAAAGTCCTAGATAGAGTCTACCTTTACTGAGGCAAATACAATCTGGCATTTCTTCTACTGCAGCCAATATTCTAAGCTACACTGCTGTGAATGCCATATAAGCTATTGACATCTTGTTTGTAGTTTCACTGGAGAGTAAAATAAAAAAA